GATTTTAAGGGTTTCTTGCTGGAAATGCTATGCTCATTAAGCTCAGAGGGTAGAGAAATCATGGCGATATGATGTGGAAGTTCACTCAGCACCTAGAGGTTAGAATTCAAAATACTAAATTGAAGGAGAGACCTAAGTGGTACTAGGAAGAATCATGCTTGTATCCGGAAAGAACTCTGCAGTATGCGCAAAAGGATTTGAAAGGACATAAGCTGAGACTGAGAAGGAATTTCTTAAGGCTAGCTATTTAACAAACGTTATGAAAAGTATAAATGATCTATGACTATATGAAAATATTAAAAGTTTCTGGCAATCAAAAGACAATTAGAGCAACAATGCAATACTAAGTACTGCTTATCAAATTTTCAAAGTTTAAAAAATGATATTATCTGAAAAGGGGTATTTAATATAATGCTCATAGGAGAGGCTATTGGTACATTTACATAAAACAGTTTGTCAAATACATACAAAACACTATCAGCACTAAACATCTACAAATTCTTTTTAAAGAATCAAATACATGTAAAAATTTATAAACAAGAATGCTCAGCATTGTTAAATTATTATGAGAAATAATATATAGACCAATTAGTGAAGGAAAAGTTTACGTATATTATGAAATAAAGGGATTTGTTGTAGCTATTAATATTTTATAAAAATTGTCAGGCACAGTGGCTCACACCTGTAATCCCAGTGGCTCGGGAAGTTGAGGCAGGAGAATCACAAGTTCAAAGTCAGCCTCAGCAATAGCGAGGCACTAAGCAACTGAGTGAGACCCTGTCTCTAAATAAAATACAAAATAGGGCTGGTGATGTGGCTTAGTGGTCAACTGCCCCTGAGTTCAATCCTGGTACCCTCCCCAAAATATATTTTAGACAAATATTTAACAGTGTAGAAAAAAAAGTGTTGTATATTTTAAGGGAAAAACAGGCTACAAAAATATTTATAGCATAATGCCACTTTTCTTTGTGTGCATGAATACTGTAAATGAAAAACAAGACACAGATACATGAAAATATTGTTAACTCTTTTTTAGTATATCTTCTTTTTTCTTCTTTATGTTTTCCATTATTTTTAAATTCCCCTGAATTCAAATGCACTATGCTTCTAATGGTATTAAATGTACATTTATATTCATATTTCTGAAATGAATAACTGAAGGCATTACATGGAGACTCTTTTTCTATATGTTTCTGTAGAGATTGAAACAACTGATTTCTGGGATATTTTTCTGTCCCTAAAGTATCACAGAAATATTTTATGAAAAACAGAAAGTGATTTAGAGGCACAAGACCACACTGCAGAAACATACTAAAGTTACAAGGAGACACTAAAAAAAACAAAAACAAAAACAAAAACAAAAAAACCTACACAATGTCATAATCAGACCAACTGAGAGTTCCCTCTTGACACTGAGTCCAAGTGATATTTTGGAAATTCCTTGTGGGCCCACTCCAAAGGGCACCCAGGCTGGGTGATGACATCTGTCATTATTACTGTCACCTAAAGTGATGCTGATAATGGGGGAAAGAGCACTGCTCGCCACGTCCAAGCACACTGATTACTTTGTGTCAGTTGCTGCAGACTCAATACACACTGTATTAGGTACCAAGATGCTCATTATACATATAAAGAGAATTGTAGGAATTAAATAATAAATTCAGGGCCTCATGACCAATATTCACATTACAACATCCCTTATACATTTTATCTTTCATTTGATTTTTTTAATTATAAATATTGATTTTACCATATGCTTTTTAATTTGGGGGGAAGAGGAAAGAGTGAATAATTTTCCTTATAACTTTGGAACTATTTATCAGTTCACTAAAAACTCATGAACTTATTGGATAGAAAACCAGCCACTTTAATTAATTATGCTCAAAAAGTTAACTGAAACAATTTATAATTTGGAAGTTTTTTTTGTTTTGTTTTGTTTTGTTTTGTTTTGGTACTGGGGATTGAACTTAGGGTCAATTAACCACTGAGCCACATCCTCAGCCCTTTTTTTTTGTATTTTATTTAGAGACAGGGTCTCAATGAGTTGCTTAGCAGTTTGCTAAGTTGCTGAGGCTGGCATGGAACTCATGATCCTCCTGCCTCAGCCTCCCAAGTGGGGATTTCCTGCATGCTCATGGCACCCAGCTTGGAAGCCATTAAAAACTAAAGAAAAAAAAAATGAAGTTTTTGCTGTTGTTGATGATGATGATGGGTAGGGATAAAGCTTAGTTATAAATAAATAAAAACATTTACAGCTTATTGACTGCTTGATCAAATCTTCACCAAATCTGATAAGAATGGTATAGTAATGATGATTCCATTGAGAAAAATTAGTCTCAATGCTGTGACCCACATTTTCATGCTGTCATGGCTTGGTTGTACCAAAATCCTGGGTTCTATACCCCATGTAACTAAAATAGTTAAAAGGACAGAAAATTGATCTTATGAGAATCAGATTCAATGCAATGCTTCTTGGAATACAGAAGAAATGAGATTGCCCATTACTTGCCTAATGGTCTACTGTTCCCTAAATCCACTCAGGGAAAGAGAAAGAAAAATTCATAACAAAAATAAAAATATTTAAATTCCCTGCAAGGGCTACTTGAAATAGCAACAGTTGTGAAATGTGAACAGAATGTTGTAAAGAACTTAAATATTTCCTTAAGTTCTAATTGTACAAATAAGAACATACAGATATCTAGTCATCTTATTTCTCAAGAAAAAAAATAATAACTTGTATTATACCAACCTGGGGTTATCCAAATTTCTGGCATAAATAATTTTTTTTTCTTTTTAGGTGAGAATTCAATGCAATATATTTCTACTCTTACACAGAAGCTCATATAACAGACACTGTTGCACTTTTTGAAGTGGGAACAGGTTTTTAGGGAGATTAAAATTTTCTGTTCCTGAAGTGAATTTTAAGTAGAACACATCAATTCTAATTTTCTTGATTCAATATGGTCTCATCTAATGGCAGAGAGGGGAGCATCAGAGACTCAGAATTTCCTTTCCTTCTTGGCTAATTTTCTCAGGATTGAATAGTAAGGTCAATAGGAAATATGAATTCCATCCTAAGCAAACAAAAATATCTGAGAGAAGATTTTCTCTGAATTCAAGTCCCAGTAATCTTTTAAGTTGAATGCTGAGTCCTGAATGTTAGACATAATCTAGTATCAAAATTCATATGAATTTTGCCGATTTATATGATAAAATTTACATTTGGGAAGATATTTTTTCCCTAAAATTTAACAGTTATCCTTTTACAGCAAAACAAAGCATCCAAAATTTGCATTTTGAAACCTTGACTTCTAAGTACAGTTTTATCCTAGAGAATACACATAAAACTTCCATATTAAAATATATTTGTTAAAAATTATCTTGTACTTTGCTGTTTTTTCCCCCTCTCTCAACAACAATACATCAAGATAGCAATGTGGAATAAAATACTTTCTGAGCAAGCTACAAATAAAATTCTTCCCAGCATAGAAAGAACCAACAAATAAACTAAAACTAGTGTTTCCTTTCTCTTGTGCAATAATTGACTCAAGTCATGCTTGATTTAACACCTCTGAATGGAATAATGTGAGAACACTCCTCCCCAAACAGAAGCCAACCTTGGCTCTCCCAGGGCTCAGCCTCTTATTTAAGAGCTCTGTCAGGATGCCTTTATGTTGCCTGCACATACTAATATATCCTTGTTTTGTACTCCATGCAATTTAGTTTCTGGAAAATCTGCCTCAATTTAACAATTCCCTTGGATATTACCTCCCACAAATTCTAAGCTAACAAGGGGAAACACCAAAGAAGATGCACGTTCATATCTGAATGCCATTCTTAACTTAGATAGCCCTTATAACATTTCCAGCCAATCCATCGCTCTGAAAAGTCTAGTTTCCACCCCATTTACTTTCTGTGTTTGAGAGATGACATAATTAAGCAGAATCAGCTCAAGTCAAGACCGAACAGCATACACATGTGATAAATTGAGTCTACGGCTATAATGAAATAAAAGAAGAAAAGATCTTTTGAACAAAAGGGAAAGAAATGATCTAATCTTGAGATATATTTTATTGCCCGTTGCTTTTAAATAAGCACATTTAGGACCCAAATAAACAAAAATCCCAGTACTAACACCCTGAGCATTCTTCAGTACTGTTCTGGAAGTAAAGGAGGTTGAAAAAACTGAGATGGTTTCAAAAGATAGCTATTTACACAGTCAGAATAGCTACGAAATGCAGTTCACATTTTGACATTTTCCTTCCTTTTTTCTATCCTCCCTCCATCCCTCCCTCTCTTTTGGTGTTGGGGATGAACTCAGGGTGTCCTACATGAGGAGAATTTTCTCTACCACAGATCTGGACACCAAGCAACATGATTTTCTAACATCATGAACGGTTGTCCAAAATAACACATACATTTTAATTCTACAACATATAAACTAGACTAGATAGGTAAGAATGATTTAAGAGGGGAGGATACATGTCACATGTCTTTTCTGGTAGGTCTAACTTCACTCAAACTCTCATTTATTTAAATTTATACTTATTATTTCATTTTCCTTTAATCTCTCAAACAGTCTTAAACTAGTTAAATACACAATAGCCCAAAGTTGATTTTCTTCTCATCAACTTATTTTAAATAAATAAATAAACATAGAAAATCATAGACCTATCAATCAAATAATCTGTCACTGTTATAGTTATTAGTTGATAAAAGAACTATCTCTGCTCAACCCAGCCAACTATCTCAAAGAATCCAAAAGTGCCCATTCTTGCCTGAGCTATTCAATTCCTACTCACCTATATTTATTAGTTCAAGGGTAATGGAGATAGCCAAACCCAATAGGAGTTATAAACTACACAGTATAATTAACAAGCAGCAATTAGCTAAGTGATTTTTTTTTTTTTTTGGTCCAGTTACATCTGCCTGAGATCAATTTTCTTATAATTTACCCTCACAGAAGGCTCACACTTTGCAATTACCCTTCTTCTACATACTGGGGATTTGTTGGATCCTGTGGACAACGACAAAAGCGTCAGACAGCCCCACTTTCACGGGATGATTGGTTGAACTTATCTGTGTGACCAAGACAGGAATCTGGAAAAGAAAAAGCAGATTACTTGTGTTAGACCTGAATTTCCTTTAGGCATTCGGAGTGGGATCATCTTGCTCCACGCACAAAATTGGGTGACAGAGATGAGGGAGTAGAGGAGGAGCAGGAAACACAGAAGACAGATATATGATGCCTCAAGGTAACATCAATTTAGAGACATTTGATGAGTTAGAGACAAGAGAGTTCCTAGACCTAGAGATGGTTGCTTGAGATGGAAAACCATAGATTTTCAACCAATTTAACTGATTCTCCATGCTACAAACTTACCACACAAAGAGTTAAACCATGAAAGCATTTGGTGTTGGCTATAATGTCAAGAATAGAGATTCTTCTCTTACTAATTGTTTTCCTAATTGATTTTATTTCATGTTTATTTTCATGTAGTTTAAACTAAGATCTTATTTACACGTGGAGTTCTAGACTTAAAACCTAGAACAAATGATGTAAGTACACTACTGAATATATACTAAAGAATATCATCATTGATTACCATATTATAGAAGTCCCATATGATACATTATTGACTTAAATCGTTAAGTTTAGTGAATGTGGATGGATGTTGAGTTTCTCCAGTCTTGTTGAAACACTTAGGAAAAACTAAGTGAGACATCTCAAGGTCACATTACCTAAATTTGAATCATTAAGAGAATCAAAAGTCTGAATATGACATACACTTCATTTGAAAAGTTAGGAAACATTGATCATATACCAAAAATGGTGCAATAGTTAATAAATGATACACCCTTGTGGAGCCTATTTCCTAGATGAAGAGAAGATTCCACTGAAAATAGGATTACTCTCTTTACTACCAGTTTTATAGAAATAAAAATGGTAATAAAACCATCTTCAATAAGTAAACGGACAAGAGAGAAAATCTGAAGAATAAATGCACCATTTTTTTTATGTTGCAAAAGCATATTGTGGGCCATCTGTGGGTAATTCATCAAAGAACATGTTTGATCAGCCATTGTCCTACAAGCCATCATCAACAGCATAGCACCAGGAAGGAAGGGAGCTGAGTTGGAAGACAGATATAATAAAGACCACATTGCTCATTTCACCCGGTGATATCATGAAATTGCAAAAGGGCTATTTTGTTAGATTTGACAAATTAAGAAGAAATTTTACTGCTTCTGAAATGTGTGGAATTATTTTGAAATAAATTAATGGAAAATAATAGTTTCCCTGTTTGTACTATTTCGATCCTCTCTTTAAAAATGGTAAAGTATCATAAATTTCATCTCAGTATCCCCAGTTTTAATCAACATCCAGAAATATTCTGATATTTGCACGACAGAAACATACAAAACAAAATCAACCAAAGATTTATGTCCCTAAAAATCCGTCTGCTAAACCAAAGCCTGATATACTTTATGTAGTCGCTTACTAAACCACACTCAACCTTAATAGATGTACTCTCCCTCTTAATGGTTATTCCTATAGTTTGGATAAGGAACATCCACCCAAAGTCCATGTGTTAAAGGCTGGGTTTCCAGGGTGACAATATTGAGAGGTGTTAGAACCTTTAGGACATAGGGCCTAATGGAGATCCTCAGGTCATTTGGTGCCTTCCATCCAAGGAAATTGTGGGACTCTCACTCTTCTTCCCTTTTACATCCTCATTGATGAGCTAGGTAATCTGGCTGTACCACATGCTCCTCCCCATTGCCATCTGGCATTCCCTTTAGAGGCCCAAAGCAATGAGTCCATCTTATCTTGGACTGGAAACTCCAAACTGTGTTTCAAAATAAACCTATTTTTTAAGTTAATTATCTCAGATATTTTGTTACAGTAACAGAAAACTGATGAACAGAGGTATTAGATTGTTACAGATTCAGGAGTGCTGATATAAATCTAACTTATATTTATAAGTCAGACTCTCATTTAAGGAAGAAAAGACAAAAGGATAGAAAGACATACATAAAAAAAAATCCCAAGTTATATTTTATTCATCCTAATAAAACAAAGTCATTCAATGGTTAGGATACTGTTCCTGAATGCCTGCTCAGAAGCAAGTATGAAAGCTTTGTTACTGGTATTTATCACTGGCTTTCATTCTCCAGCACTACGACTGTAGTTTTCCTTTGCAAGTTACAGAATACTTTACCAGATTACTCTGCAATAATTTGTTGTATTTCCTTTTATCCAATTTTCATAACAGAATTTGGGCTTATATTAGCATCACTTGAAAAACACTATTATGCTGTTATGAATGCCATGTGTCTACCCCAGACCTTATTTTTCAGATCCTATTTCTTTGCTCCTATAACCTTCCCAGCACTGTGTCCTCCCTTCAGATTAGGCATTCCACCTTTTTACCTCTCTTCATCTTTCATTCTGATTTTGTTTTCTCCCTCTCTTTCCTTCCTTTCACCCACTTCCTTTGTATTTAGTCTCCACGTCCAACCCTCTTCTCCAGTGCTTTTATTCTGGGGTGGATTGATTACACGGATGGCCTCAATCCAGACTCTTTTCTAACTTTGCAATGTTCTCTCCCTCTGACTCGATGCTCAGTCATATGGCAAAAGAAGACAACCACAAACATGAAGCAAAAAAGAAGCTTGAAAAGTGCTTGCAAATTTCTATTTCCTCTCTTGGAAACTTGCCACAGCTAGAGAAGGTACCCTGCTGCTCAGCTGAATGCATGGGAGAGACACAGGAAGGAAACCTTTCTTTCCAATAGGGAGCACCTTTGACCAGCCAGCTCCCAGAATATCCACCAGTAAACGGCTGGCACTCAAAGGTCCAGTAAAGATCAGTGTAACTACCAACCTAATCCATAGGTATCTTATGGGAAATAAGAAATGGAGTTGGGGTAAGCCGCTACATGGGAGGATGAGTTGTTACATAGCAATACTGATCAATACATTCTTTGCTAAAGATCAAGTAGCGAATACAAATTCCTGTGCGTGTTTCTGCATAAGTTGATGTGGCATTCTTCCTCCTAGTTTTCTTGGAATCAGATAAATCTCTCTCTATGTGCAGTGAAACTGGAAAGATAGGAATGTTCCAGTGGTAAAGTTTCATTTTCTATACCCACCCCCATATTTTTCTACATTTCTTTTATCGTCCAGTGTATTCTTTGGTCTGTGAATTATAAAAGCTAAGAATGATATGTATAAGTAAACTAGATGAAGATTTATTTAACCTGAGGAAAATCCATTCAAAACCCAACTTGATAGCCTTAAGGTGTACTTAATGTTCTATTACTGAAAATTATCTGATGAATTGACTAACCCTCTAGGAAGATCATTGTAGACAACTGTAAGACTCTTTTAATCCTCAAACTGTTATTTCCCTCTACTGAATGATTTTGATGTTTTGAAGTTTCAATAAGTAAATTGTTAACAATGATCCAAACAAAAACTATAAGGAAAGATATTCTGGCCATCTATAAAAAGGCAGAATTAGGTAGAAACCATCATTTGTAGTTAAGGGGTGCATTCTAAATTGCTACCAATTTTGAAAATTTACATGTTTACGAGCCAATGACTTCTGAATACCAATTCTGACACACCGCTCTCCTCTAATATTTAAAGGTCTCAATTCTGAGTCTTAATATGAGAGTACAGAGTAGAAAAAATGAGAATAATGTCAACTACAAAGAAAGTATTTCCCCCCAAAAGACATATATACTGTTCATGCTGCTTGATGAAATAGGAAAAATTTATTAATTCATCAGATATTAATTCAACAGATATCCTTATTTTGGACACTGTAGTTACAGCAGAGAATAAAACAAAGATCTTGCTTTCAGAAAGTTCTAGGGTAAAATAGATATTAAAACAAGTAATTATAAAAAAAATAGAGTATGTGACAAGGTGCTTAGTACTATGAAGTCAACTGGGTGGAGAGTTAAGGATGGGAATATTTATTGGAAAGGACAGTCACTAAGGATCCCTCTAATAAAGTGACTTTCCAGAAGAAACTCAAAAGAAATAAGAGTCTGCCTTGTGGTTACTCAGGGAACCACTCTGGGTAGAGGCACCAGCACATGTGAAGGGCTTGTCTGAATTGCTTTGGGTGTGCTTTGGGAATTGAAATGTCATCTCCATGGATGGGGCAAAAGTAGTAACCAAGTATGTTAAAAAAGTTAGGAGATAGTGGGGCGGATCATAAGGGGTATGTATTCCTTGCAAGCCATGGCATAGGATTTTATTCCAAAAAATACAGGAAGTTTTGGAGAGGTTTAAGTAGAGGAAAGGAATTGCTTCAGGTTTAAAAAAAATACTAGCTTTTTGTGATCAAGACTGTAGGGGAAAAACGGAGTCAGAAAAACTAGTTAGGAGTGTATCATAGTTGTCCAGGTAGGACATGGGTGGCTTGGACTACACTATTGTAATAAAAGAGGCAAAAAAGACAGAAAGCTGAATTTTGAATGAATTGTTTAGGTACTTATGAATTTAATAAGGCCAGTGAAGTAAAAAGGAGGGTAGAGGGTATTATCAAGAAAAGTGTATGTTTCATCAGGAATGCTGTGTTGTCCAGCTTCAGGGGACTCATTCACCTCAGTCCAACAGAAGAAAATCCTTTGGGTGTCCATAGAGCAACTCAAGCAGCTCTAGAGATCAGAACCAAAGTGTACAGAGGTGGAGAGGACCAGGAGAAGGGTGCAGAAGGACCATCACTTTATGGCAATATGAGTGACTTCAAATGTATTTCTTTAAAATTTCAGAGAGTTCACTAGTAAGAGACTAGGGTTTCTAAAACTCTCAATTTTTGTCCTGAATAAATATTAAAATGAATATACACAAGGAGCTCTCAATTCCTTCCATTTGCCTAGAAACTGCCCAAGCCTTTTATGAAATGATTACATCTCAGGTTTTTAAAAGGAGAAAAAACCCAAAAACTCTTTTTGCCCATTGAGTTAATACTTAATATTGTCAAAGGTCAGTGATGGGCAACACCAGGATTCTGCAGAGGTTTCCTACAAAAGCTCTCTGGCCTCTCCCTGCCTGACATTCTCATATCTTCCTTACTCTAC